CCTGAAATCCTTTCTTCTCTATTTTCTCATTCTTACATTTTTATCTAATTCTCTTGAACTGTAACAATTTGGTATCGAGAGCTTCGGTTCTGGAAACAAGAAAATCAGTGGGCATAACAAAAAAGAATCAGAGTATGGAAACGGATTTAGCTGGTTTGCAGAAACAGATAGAGGACTTAGTAGCTATGGTGAAAAAATGACAAGATGAGACTAGTCCACCTAAATGGTGGGAGATTCAGGAAAATAGGATCACTACACTGGAGTCTAGGCTAACTACAAATCAAGGATATGTTGAAGAAATCTTGAAGATTTTGACTGGGAGGAAGGAGGACCAAAATCAGTCTGTTGATGATCAGGTACAGACCCTTAATTCATCTAATATGAGTGGCAGACAACCTGTTAAGGTGACAGTGATAAATGATAAGACTAGGTTTACTTATAAACCTGATGAACCTGGAATTCTTAAGTCTAAACCAGCTGATTTTCCTAGCTTTAAAAATGACAATCTGATGGGGGAGAACAGTACTGTTAGAAATCAGTTAGTGGCAGTGGAAGGGGATAAAAGAGGTATTGGGGGGTCTTCTAATATGTCAGGAGCAATGTGGCATAGACCAAAAATTGAGCTGCCAATGTTTGAAGGACTTAATCCAAGGGGATGGCTACAAAAGTTTTTGAAATATTTTGCTCTTTGTAATATTGCAGATGAGCAAAGAGTTGAAGTGGCTACAATGCATTTAGGAGGTAAGGCTGAAATTTGGTTTGATGGTTATATTATGCAAAAACATCATGTTACATGGCATGAGTTTGAGGCAGACCTATGTCATAGGTTCAGTGATAGATTTTTTGTTGATATAGTAGAGGAGTTTAGAAAGTTAGTGCAGAAAGGGACTGTGGATGAATATCAGGACAGATTTGAGGAATTACAACCACATATGTTACTACATAGCCCTACACTATGGGAAGAATTTTTTGTTTCACTATTTAGTAGTGGGTTAAGGGAGGATATTAAACACAGAGTTAAGGTCTTAGCACCTAAGTCACTTTCGGAGGCATGTAGGCAAACTAAGTTATATGAGCTGTCTATGGAATTTGAAAGCAAAAGATTGAGACCAACCTTCAGAAGTGCACCCTATACAAACCCTATATCTACTCCAAAGCCAAATCAGCTACCAGTACAATAGAAAAATTCAGCTAATCTATCACCAAAGCAGAATTTAATAGATTACAGAAGACAAAACAATTTATGCTTTAAATGTGGAGATAAATTTATTCCAGGTCATCAATGCAAAATGAATCAATTGAACATGATGATGGAGGATGACACTGTTTTACCCTCAGAAAATTCACCAGCAGATTCGGAGCAAACGAGTATGCAAGAAGAAGAGAATCTAGAAATATCAATGAATACTATTAATGGATGTATTGATCATAATACCTTACAGATACAAGGAACAATTCAAGGGAGGCCACTTAGTATATTGATTGACAGTGGTAGTACTCACAGTTTTTTAACACCTCAGTGGGCTGAAGCTGGTACACGGGTTAATACTCCTTATCCTTTGGCTATTACAGTAGCAAATGGACAGCAACTTTATAGTTCAGCAAGGTGTAATGAGGTGGAATGGAAGATGCAAGGGCACTCTTTTATGCATGATTTTAGATTACTTCAGTTGGGGGACAGTGATATGGTATTAGGTGTGGATCGGATGAAACTGTTCAGTCCAATTTTGATGGACTTCAATAATATGACATTGAGTTTTGTGCATAAAGGGGAGCAGATTATTATACAAGGTCAGCAATAATCTAATTTTCTACAGCAGATTTCAGGAGCTACCCTATTGAAGATGACAGCTTCTGATTCATCTATTCTGGGACATGTAGTCTTATTTACTATGTCTGAAGGGTCCAAGTCTGTTCCTACAACTATTCAGTCTCTATTGGACCAATATCACTTTGTTTTTACTGAGCCTACAGGTCTGCCACCTACAAGGAATCATAATCATGCTATTACTCTTAAACCTGAAGCTGCTCCTATTAATTTAAGACCTTATAGATTTCTACACAATCAGAAAATTGAAGTGGAAAGGCAGATTGCTAATATGTTATCATCCTCTATTATTCAGCCAAGCAAAAGTCCATTTGCTTCTCCATGTCTTTTAATAAAAAATAAGGATGGTACTTGGAGGTTTTGTGTAGATTACAGTAAGCTAAACAGCATGACAGTGAAAGATAAGTTCCCAATTCATGTGGTGGAGGATTTATTGGATGAGCTACATGGAGCTGTTTATTTTTCTAAAATTGATTTGAGGTCTGGTTATTGACAAATCAAAATTAAACATGAGGATATCTATAAGACAGCATTCAGAACTCATCAAGGCCACTGTGAATTTAAGGTAATGCCCTTTGGGCTTACTAATGCACCTGCTACATTCCAAGCTCTAATGAATGAATTATTTAGTTCATTTCTTAGAAAATTTGTCTTGATTTTTTTTGATGATATCCTAGTTTACAGTACCTCTATGGCAGATCATGTTGTTCATCTTCAATTAGTTTTGGAAATTTTGAAAACTAATCAATTATTTGCCAAGAGGTCCAAATGCTTCTTTGGACAGACTCAAGTGGAATACTTGGGCCATATTATCTCAGCTTCTGGAGTCTCTACTGACCCTTCCAAAGTTGAAGCTATGAAGGATTGGCCTGTGCCAAAATCTCTAAAATATTTGCGTGGATTTTTGGGCTTAACAAGCTATTACAGAAGGTTTATAAAGGGTTATGGTACAATGAGTAAACCCTTGACACAACTGCTCAGGAAGGACAGTTTTAAGTGGAATAAGGAGGTATTTCTGGCTTTTGAGAATTTAAAGAATGCTATGTGTGAAGCCCCTGTTTTAGCATTACCAAATTTTGGTAAATGTTTTTATTTGGAGATAGATGCAAGTTCAGGAGGAATTGGGGTTGTATTGTCTCGGGATGGAAGACCTATTGCTTACCTTAGCAAGGCACTTAGTCCTAGACATGCTGCTCTTTCTATATATGAAAGAGAGTACCTTGCTATTTTATTGGCAGCTTCTAAATGGAGACATTATTTAGAAGGCAGTCCGTTTGTTATCAAAACAGACCATGAACCTCTCAAGTATTTATTAGAGCAGAAATTAACTACTGCTATTCAACAGAAGGGTCTGACTAAACTGCTGGGGTTGGATTACACTATTCAGTACAGGAAGGGAAAATCTAATGTAGTTGCTGATGCCCTTTCTAGACAGTGGGAAGATCAAGTTCAATGTTTAGCTATGACTACTATTTTGATCATTCCTAGTTGGGTGCAAGAGGTGGAAGAGACTTATAAAGGGGATAAATTAGTTGCTGAATGGATCTCTGTTTTAACAGTTACTCCTAGTGTTGATACTAGGTAGAAATATTCTAAGGGTATCCTTAGATTTCAAAATAGAGTTTATATTGGAGCTAATGGAACTCTAAGGGTGCAAATTATTCAGATCCTACATGATTCACCCCATGGGGGTCATTCTGGTATACAGGCCACTTATCAGAGGATTAAGGCTTATTTTTATTGGCCTAGGTTGAAAGCTATGGTAGCAGATCAGATCAAGGTTGGTACAGTGTGTCAACAAACAAATGTGGAGCATATTGCTAAGCCAGGACTCCTACAACCAATTCCTATTCCTCAACAGGCTTGGGAGTTTATTACTATGGATTTTATAGAGGGTTTACCTACATCTTTGAGGAAAAACTGCATTTTGGCGATAGTTGACAAGTTTACAAAATACAGTCATTTCCTAGCATTGTCACATCCCTATTCAGCTGCTGATGTAGCCAAATTATATTTGGATATTGTCTATAAACTTCATAGCCAGCCTAAAATGGCCATTTCTGACAGAAACAAAACATTCACTAGTCTCTTTTGGAGAGAACTAATGAAGCAGCTGGGGACTAAGACATTATTTAGCACTACTTACCATCCAGAGACTGATGGTCAAACAGAAAGGGTGAATCAGTGTTTAGAACAATATTTAAGGGGCCTATGTTTTTTTTAACCAAAGCAGTGGGCTAAATGGTTGCCACATGCAGAATGATGGTATAACTTATCACACTGCCCTAAAGCTTACACCATTTCAGGCTTTGTATGGTTATAAACCTCCTACTATAGTTTGGCAGACAGAAACTACAGTGCAGTCTGTTAGTGATTTAATGACTAGCAGAGAAAATATTAGACAATTGGTTAAGTTACGGTTAGAGCAAGCAAGCAGCAGAATGAAATAGCAAGCAGACAAAAAGAGGACGGAGAGGGTATTTGCAGTGGGAGATAGTGTTTACCTGAAGTTACAGCCATATCGCCAAACTTCACTGGCCCTGCAAAAAAATTTAAAATTAGCAGCAAAGTATTACGGTCCTTATAAAATTATTGAGAAGATTGGGGAAGTTGCGTATAAATTGGACTTACCAGATTCTTCTAGGTTGCATCATGTTTTTCATGTCAGTGTCCTGAAGAAACATGTGGGCGATTCGGGTATTTCTTCAACTGAACCTCTTGCAATGGATGATGATGGTCAGATTCGCGTGGAACCGTATAAGGTTATGGGCAGAAGAATCATAAATAGACAGCACAAACCTGTAACTCAGTTGCTGGTACGATGGCGAAACCTCGATGAATCCAGTGATACGTGGGAGGACTATACTGTTCTCCGAGGACAGTTTCCAAAGTTTGATCCTTGGGGAAAAAGATCGATTCCAGCGGCGGGTATTGTTACAGTTGGTGGAGATGAGAGGGAAGAGATCGATGATGGCGGAGAGAACGAAGGAATTGGGAAAAGAAGAAGCATAGGGTTAGGGATTGAGGATGGTGAATTAGGAATCGAGGCGAGAGAATGAAAGAAAAGAAGGGAATTAGGGATTGTAACTGAAGAAGAGGAAATGATGCATTTACCCTTTCAAGTGATTCGTGCAGCTGAACCGGTTCAGGAGGCATTGGATTTAGTGGAGTTTTAGACCCAAGCAGAGTTGAAGCAGCCCAAGACTGGTGGCCCAGTAACCTGAAAGAGAAAGATATGATCAGTTTGTTATAACTGTTATAGATGTAACGCCAGCTGGCATTATTTGCAATTTACGTTTTTAGCCCTATAACTAAATAAGACTGGTTGTAAGGCATTGATTCCTCAGATTATGAATGAAGAGTTTTCTATTTCCCTGAAATCCTTTCTTCTCTATTTTCTCATTCTCACATTCTTATCTAATTCTCTTGAACTGTAACAGAATAGTACTTACCGACTGAGGGTAGCAGACATCCACTATTGCATATCGGTTCTCCTGCATTTCAACAAACATGATTAGAGAACAAATGCTAGTTCTCGACCATACCTTCTGATGGATTTAAGGTATTGGTGGTACACGAGGAATTACCTGTTGGTCAGGGGATGGGGCTGTCGAATTCCGAGAAAGTGGTTGGGCGTCATAAAAAAACAGCTTTGGAGGAGAGAAATGCTATATTTAGTTCTCTCCGAAATTTTCAAGAAAAATTCTCTGCTCATCAAAGGAAGCCTAGTTAATGTCAAAGCAATAAGTCTCAGAGGAAGGTGCATGGAGAGGGAGTTTTTTCTGATCTTGAAGGTTCTATAGTTGGAGTTTTGGATGGTCTATGTCGACAAGTCGAGCTAGAAGAGGCAGTAATGCGGAAGAAGAGTCTTGTACTCTTCGAGTGGAAGTTCAGGGCTTTTTGATTTTGGATTTTATGGTTTGAGTCGGCTGTGATATTTGGCTTCTGCTGTAATTGTTTTGTTTTTGTGTTGGTTTTCGGGTAGTTAAGGTGTTAAATCTGGTTAGTCATTTTTGTGATTGTCGATATAGCTTAGTTGGATTTCGTTGTGTTAGTGTTGTTGTTTAGGGTTCTTCTGGTTGTTTTGGGTTATTTATGTTGGGGGAGGTTTTTCTGATTGTATCTTATGTTTCTTATGGTTAATGAAATCTTAAGGCACTCTTTTCCTCCTTCCGCTGATTAAGGAGCTTTTCTACAAGCTCTTTTAATCAAGAAGGAGTTTTTTAACGAGGTCTTCAATTCCTATAAAAAAAAGTAAAAAGCAAAATCAAGAATCCAAAAGAAAACGAAGATGAAATAAATATGTATTTCTAACATCAGAATGGCCAGAAAATTTCTCCCTGATATGAAGTACTTAATACTCTATGTTCTGTTATCAAGATGTTGACAGCTTAATGAGCACACGTGTTTGTCATATCTAGGAGCTTTTGCATAGTATATTAAAGATCTCTAATTTTATTAAATATGTGCAACCATTTCTTCTCTTCACCCTATCCCAATCTTCTGCAACCAATTTTACCTAACTACTTTTCTTATATTCCAATTTTATTTTTTTCCTTTTTTATGAATAGTTTCTCCCTCTTTTGAATCAGTTTGCTGGAATATCAAAAAGAATTCATTCATGCGGCATTTAGAACTACAAATTACAAACAATGTTTATATGAGATATCCTTTTCAAACTACATCAAGATTATATAAAAGATCAGCAAGGAATAAAACGCGTTTATGTAAAACTCAACATTGGAAAAATAGCAAGAAAACTGTAACATGATAAGTATAAACCTATTTTCCTTTTAATGAGCATTTTAAAAACTTCTTCTAGTTGCCAAATAGAAAGAACAAAGAAAAACTAACATTGGAAAAATATCAACATTTGTAGTAGTATGTCAACTTATAGATCATCACACCATAAGAAAAGATTTTGATGATGAGCTTCATTGTGATGCTCATGCAGTGCAAAATTAAAGCTCTAATATATACTATATAGGGTAAGAGGGGGGTATTACCTGCTCAAAACCAAGTACAATATTTGCCCCCTCGATATCCCTGGTAATTAGAAGATTGGACCTAGCAAGAAGAGGTGCAATTTGAGCCTGAATAATTTCAGAAACAACTATTGTCGGCTAATTTTTTGAATGTATAAGTGTTAAAACCTCCAAAAGGAAAGAGTAACCATTAAAAGAAATATAACATAACAGAATTAGCATCTAAAATTAGTATCAACTGTAGGTGAACGTATTCCCCTGCTCCAAGAACTAGGTTTGAATCTCCCTTCACCCAATGAAAAACAAAAAGGTGAAAAGAAATGAAAACTACAAAGGACTTTACCTCTTCTTGTGATGTTGGCCGAAGAAAACCTGAGATATTTTGACAAACTGGTTGTTGCTTGAAAACCGGTACAGCTCGATCACTAGATTCTTCTACTTTAACTCTACCGCCGGGAAAGCATTTTTCAAATGGATGTTCAAATGATTTCTGTTCTCCAACATAATTTAGGTGCTTACATTTTCTTCTTTTTTCAAGATCCTTTATCATTTTTCTTTCTGCAACCCAAAGCTGTGCAAGAAAATTTCTACTTAAATCAGGTTCATTGTTAGCAATGTTGCCATAATAGCAATATGCAGGACTCCCTTGTGTCGACCAAGGAGAATTTCCTCGAAAAGAGCAAGGTAGGTTAAATCTCGAAAACAAAATTCTCCCAGACATCAAACTTTGTAGAGAACCTATTCCACCATACCCAGAACATTCCTGCTGCTAAAGTTGCTGATGGAAACACCTTTGACCTCGAATACTAAGAGGAATGCAAGGCTTTGCTGGGTCAAAAATACCATAAGGATGTTTATTCAAAACATGATCATGGAATGATTCACCTAATGTGGATATCTTCCTAGAGGATTCCTTAACACTAGACAGGCAGCGAAACCACTTAGTTGGATTCATCTAATACAGATGAAGCAGTACCTGCCCAAATTGAAGGCATAATACTAATCACAATCGTTTACTGTAAATTTCAAGTGAAGGAAAATTATTAACATATAAGAGAATAAACTATACACAGCAGAATCAAATGAGGTTTCATTTTTTCTCTTTCTTTTTAGAAATATATAAAAGAAACCTAAATTCATTGTGTGCGAGGTAGGGGTGTAAACAAGTCGAGTCGAGTTCAAGTATTGTTGAACTCGATTCAATTCGAAAATTCGTGAGTTTAAAATTTTTAAGCTCGACTCGAACTCGAAATCTTGAACAGAAACTCGTGAGCAGCTCGAAAAGACCCGAAAAAAAAAAATCTTAAACTTAACAATATTAAATCTTCAAACTTAAACCTGAACCTTAATTACATCAAAGTCTTATTGTATTTTTTTTTATAAAAAAACAACACATAAATTTTAATATTATTAATAATTTATTTTTTTTAAAATAAAATCTTAATATATTATATTTTCGAGCTGCTCACGAGCTTTTCGAGTCGAATATTAAGTAGTTCGTTTCAAATAACTCGTTTCGGCTCGTTAAGAATTCTAGTCGAGCTCGAGTTAAGTCCATTCGATCCGAGTATTTATTGAGCCTTAACTAGATCGATATCGAGTAGCTCGTGATCTATCTCGTCTCATTTACAACCTAGTGTGAGCATAGCATAGGAAAACAAAGGAATATCCCAATGAAATTAAAGTATTTATTTGGGGTAAAAAAATCGAAGGAAGGGAAGGGAAAGGGAAGCAAATACTGAAGAATGAGACTTGATTGCTTAATGTATTGCCTGGTTCGTAGGGTTTGGTTTAAACGGAAGGGATGGGCGGAAACCACTGGGAACAGGCGTTGACTGAGATCGCACCGGCGCTTGACTCCGTTTGTTTGATTCAATAATCAAACTAGATATTTTGCAACAGTAATTAGGAGTAATATTTCTTTACACTTGTACGCGTGGTATTTGATCCCAGATATTTTGATCCCAGATATTAAGTCTGTGTTTGGTTCACGGAATGTAAGATTATCAGTGAAAATGTAAGATTATCAGTGAATAAGATTACTGAGAATGTTATATTTTGTGTTTGGTTGGTTTAGCAGGAATGTAAGATTACCGTGTTTGATTAAAGGAATAAAAGATTATTGGAATATATATTTGACCAAATTATCCTTATTATATATTTATTTTTTTAACAAGTTGAAAAATATTTATATATTTTCTTTAAAAAATTTAAATTCATAAAATTTATATAATTTTTTTTACAAAATTGAAAATATAAAAAGGTTTAATGAAAGGGTACAATTTTATTTTAATCCATGAACTTCATATAAAATTTTAACTATAGTTTTTTTTTGTAAATTTAAAATAGTTTAAGGATAAATTTGTAATTTAACATTCGTAGATTTTTTATTATTCAATGACAGAAGAATGATATTTTTGGCAAAAAAATTAAAGGCATTTTAGTCCAAAACGTCGGTAATCCAACAATACTTAAGGAAAGGGAGGTAATGACATTCCCAGTAATATACACCAAAAAATGCACTATTGGTAATCTTACATTACCGAGAATGAGATTCACGGGCTAACCAAACGGGAGAATGTGAATTTTATTCCCATAGGAATCTCACATTCCTCCATCCAAAAGCCACCTAATGGATGACAATTTTTATGTAATATCAAATACTTTCAAATTTTATATAATATAATTATAAATATATTTAATTAAAAAATAAATACTCAAATTATACTTCTGGTTAATTTTATTGTTAAGTTTAAGCCTATAACTTTTCTGATTTAAATAATTACTTAATATTCTTCAAGTTGATCAATTATATTATCATCGTTGAAATAATTTATTAAAATTACTCTATCAATCAATATTTGATATCTGATTTAATTTTTATTTTTTTAATTTTTTCAAAAAATGAAATTCAAAAAGTTAAAAGAAACTTTACATTTTTATATTTTTACAAAACAACCCAAAATTCATAAAACCTTAATTTTTTAACTTAAGTTTAGGAGTTTAAGGCATTTAGATGATGAAAAGAGGATGACCAATAATGCATGCCCAACGATAAATGTATGGTATTCGATAAGGGTAGTGATAGTCAACAGTGGTAATTGATTTTGAGATTAGAACTTTGGGTACATGGATTTAGGGGTTTAAGGTTTATCAAGAATTAGGGTTTAAGTTTAGGGATTTATGGGATTAGAGCATCGAAAAAGGATGATCGACAATGAGAGTGTGACGATAGATGGATAGATTTTCAACAACATCGGTGGTGATAGACGGAGGTAATATGCTTTGAGATTAGGATTTTTTGTATTGAGAATTTAAGGACTTGGGTTTAAGGAGATTTATGGATTTATGTTTAAGATATAGATGATTAGAACGAAAGTAATAAGAAGATCAATAATGGTAATTCAGTTACAATTAGATGGGCATTCAGCGAAAATGATGACGACAGAAACCGACAATGGAAATAAGTTTTGGGGCTAAAGATTTTGAGATTTTTTAATTTAGAGAAATTTACTTTTTAATAATAATTTTAAGTTTTATAAAATAAAATTTTCAAAAAATTATAAAAGCATGCATATTTTGAGTGGTTGACATATTTTTTAACGAACGTGACAGAATTGACCTTAAAATTGTCCTAAATATATATATATATATATAATATTTGAGTATTTTTAACAAATGGGTTAATTCCAATAATTATCCTCAACTATTAAAAGTTATAAAATGGTCCTTCAACTATATAATGTTTCTTTGTTGAGTCTCTCGAATTTTAAAAGTTACAAAATGGTCACCCAACTATTCATTATGTTCCAAACTTATCATTTTTCGTTAAAAATCAATGGTCAGCATGTTAACGTCAAACTCATACTACCGTCAATTTTTTAATGAAAGATGATGAATTTAGAATATATGAATAGCCAGGTAACCATTTTTTTAACTTTTAATAGTCAGCGAACTCAACAAAGTAATGTTTTATATTTGAAGGATCACTTTGTAACTTTTAATAGTGAGAAGACTCAACAAAGTAACACCCTATAGTTAGGGGGTCATTTGTGTACTTTACCAAAAAATTAATATTCTTTTCTACTGTTGGGAATGAGGGCAAGTTTAAATTTATATCTAATTTAAAGAAAATATTTGATTCTTTGGTAAATGTTAAACTAATTCCATTTTAGAAAATGCAATTTATTAAGCGAACAAAAAAAAGGTTAAAAGAAATTACAAATTTAAACCAACGTCCCTAGCTCCCTAGGAATTTGAGAGCAATGCATAGAGAATTTGGTTCCATGTATCATGTGGTCCAGCAAGACACCAATGGCTACAATCGTTTCCCTTCTTCCCATCATAAATAGAAGGATGACCATCTTTCCTCAGCAATGAATGTAACACCCCAATTTAGGGTTAAATTTTAAAAATTATAAAATATTAAATTTAAGTGGTATTTTGAAAAAATTAAGGATTAAAGTGTAAAATCGTAAAGTTAATAGACCATTTAGAAAGTGTAAGAAATTCAGTGACCCAATCCTAAATTTACCCATTTTTATTATATGTTAAATTATAAACTCTCTCACTCATCTGTTTTCCAGAATGTTTTTTCATTCTCTCCCCCGTTGACCCTCATTTGTTATTGACCGAGCCGTTGGCCGTTGACTTTGACAAAAAAAGTTAAAATTTTTGAAAAGTCATATTTTATGTTTTTCGACGTCATGAGTTCGTTTTTTCAAATTCAAACTCAGTAAGCTATTTTTCACTGATTTATCACCCGATTCGATCCGTTTTTCGCAATTAAGCTCTGTTTTTTATGAAATTTTTGTTGATATGTATTTGAGGAATTATTGGACTTTGAATTCAAGTTCGAGGGCGATTGAATAGAGTTTAAATGGTCGATCGGTATGGCACAGAAATCGAGGTAATACTCTACTACCTTTTGTATGCTTTATGGAACTCATGGATAGTTGGTAAATGCTTGATTGGAATGATTGATCTATTAGATGTAATTAATTATCATTGAACTCATACATAAATAGGATTAAGGACAAAACAATGTAAAAGCCTCAGACGACTCGAAAAAGAAATATGTAGAGTGACCGAGAATATACATCGGTTCAATAATTTAATCAGTAAATTAGTAAAACTCAGAACTCGTAAATTATGATTAATCTCGTTATAGGTTAAATGATGGAAATATTTGGATATGAAATTATCGAAAAGAGCGCCATGTATAAATTATAAAAATGCCCTTGTATTGAAAAATGACCAAGATTTCCCTTAGTGGTGAAATTAACCTTCAGTGAGCAAATGAGCAAAGTACTCTGAACTTTAATGGAGCTGGAATACTTTCAAGCCTAATTTACCCGAAGTAACGACACTGTCAGAATTAATCAAAATTACGATAATACATTTAAAGAGTAAAACGAAATATGGATGACTATGATAATAAAGACGACTTGAAAACTCATACCTTGATTCACGAGAACCTTGGAATCATCAAATTAAATTCTGGATCTATATTGGAATTATAGAAATACCCCTAAAGTGTAAAATGACCAAAATGCCCTAAAGTGTAAAATGGCCTAAAGTACCTCTAAACCCTAGAATTTCTAATACCCTCAGCTCTGAAATGAACTGAATGGAAGTATTGTATGTATCTGAATAATTGAAATGACCGAATTACTCTGGAACACTGAAGTGACTGGGATAGACTTGACTAATAAATGAACTTAGCAACCTCAATGATTGAGGATTAAGTAAATGATTTGGATAAGTCTGGAAACTCTGATGAACATACATGATGTATCATCCCTATGGGTTATGAACCACTAATCAAGTAAGTCGGTATTTCCTGATATAGTTTAAAAGTGGAAATGAAATAAAGATCTATGGAATATATGTTCGTCTCTTTAAGATATATTCAACGATGATTCTAAAGATGATCTATGAACAATAATTGTTGGTATTAAAGAGTGAATACCCTGGAAGGAAAATGAATTGACTATTCGACAGGCATCAGTTATGGGAGTTGCCAGCTCAAGTTGTTCAATAATTCGATAGATCGACACAAATTATAAGTGTCCTAAATCTTCATTTCTCCCTTATCAGCTCAAATCACTACGGTCATATATGAAAACACAAGTAACTCAGATGTAAAAGATTATGAATACCCCATTTGGTTCAATTAGACTAAAATCTTGTTAATTCAATGCATACTCTCGAATACCCATGATTGTTTGGGTAATAGAATCACTCTCAGTAAATATGAATCTAGAATTATTCTGTATAAGGTTCCTGAACACTTTTCGGATGCACATGAATCATAGTGGGATTCTTAAGTATCAACCTTAAATGTCTGATTAGATCGATTAGTAATCGATTCCCTTCAATAGGACCTCTTTCCTGGAATCTGATCAAATTGTGCAAGTTTCATGTTATTCATACTGATAATTACCAAATGCCTCTGAAAAATACTTGGATCCTCTAGTGTGTTCAACATGTACTACATGACGATTTTATATGTTTTGAAATGAGTTTTTAACGAAATTATTGATTTATTGGTTTATGAACCATGACAACATGGTATGTGATATCTGATTACTGTTTTCATCGAAAACTATGAATTGTTCCTGATTTATGGAATCATGTAATTTACTGGTTTATGAATTATGGTTACCTGAAATGTGTTATCAGGTTTCCTATTTTCACTGGAAAATATGATGGTTATTGATTAATGGACCATGAAATATATTGGTTACTAATGGAATTGTTTTATTGGGATATTATGTGGGTAGATTAGAGATACAACATTGATCAAGTTGGAAATTTCTTACGGACCTAAGGTGATCCTTGGGTAGGCTCTCAGGCCCCAAGGCACTCCCTTGGGTTAATCATTGGACTACTTATGGTGTACAGGTGGAAATCAAGTATACGGTTTATTTCATTATCACGATTATGACATATTACTGGATCACGATCCAGATATTACGATTTACGGCTAAAACTGATTTCTACTGGATATTTATATGGATAGGATTCTGGAGTATGGAGGCACAACCATGATCCAACTGGTAAGTCCTTACGGACCTAAGGATACCCTTGGGTGGGCCTATAGGCCCCAAGGCATATCTTAGGTTGGATCCCTTTGATGTGTGCTTAGGGTAAGCCTCATGGACGTAGTTCTGGGGAACTGCATAATAGAGTTGGTTGGAGGGTTTCACTATAGTTTTAAAAGATTTATATATTTTTACTGGTTTTGAATGGAACACACTGGATATCCTATTCGACCTCCTGAAAACGTGATACTATGAATGCTTCCTATAAATTGATATCTTCATGGCTTTTACTCGATGAACTACCAGTGTAACCCCAGATTATTTTGAAAACCGGTATACGTCTGATCCAATAAGAAAATTATATGGATTTCCATTTATCTGCATGTCATGTAGCATCAACTAGTAGTATTGTATTACTGAGCTTCCCAAAACTCACTCTATTACTCACATTTCAAGTTAAAAGAATCGTACCAGTGTATTTATCGACATCAGTACGTGAGTTCTTCCGGCGTTGCTTACAGAGTATGGTACATGTGATTAGGGGGCATGTAGGTTGTATTTTGTTTTATATATGAGTCTGAAAATCTATTTATTTCTGAATACTGATAAATTTTATTTTGTATTTATAAATCATTTTATGATTTTACATGTTTTCATAAAAGTTTTAAATCCGCTATTTTTACGGTGGATCGCTCCAGTGACCCTAATGTGACATTCCGGATCGGATCGAGTTACCAACATCGGTATGAGGGAGTTACAATGAAAGCATCGTTATATCGAGCAAAGTGACCGGCTTTGACATCGTTTGCAATACTTGCTTCACTACCAACATCGCCGGCGGCAATGGTCCGGGATAAGTTGTTCCAATTAACGTTGTCGTTTCGCCTTGACAGGTTTTCGAAACCGAACTGTTCCATTCCCTGCCACTGTAAAAAATTCATCCTTTGTTTAGTATGTTACATTAATAGCAGTACAAGAAATAATTTATATCAATAATGAAAATAAATAATTTAACTTACTCGGTATGAACAGGAGAGATACCCTGAAAAAAATACTTGAGTAGTATGAGGATCATATTGGAATTAACCCATTTGGACCAAGTAGTTAGTCCCTCTTTGAAGGCCATTAATCTATCCATATCCTTATATATCTTTCCTCCCAATTCAATGAATTCCCATCTAATTTCCATTAAAACGTGTCAAAATATATATATGTAAAGGTAAAATTTCTTTAATAGATAATAGAGTGAGAAAAATTGTTTATATAAGTTGTAGTAAAAAATATTGCGTATGGCTTATATCTACAAGGCTAAAGTGAAGAAGAATGGCTCACACTATCGCTGCATCTGGGGAAAGGTTGCTAGACCTCATGGTAACAGTGGGGTTGTTCGTGCTAAGTTCAAGTCTAACCTCCCCCCCAAATCTATGGGAGATAGAGTCAGAGTATTCATGTACCCTAGCAATATATGAGTAGTGTAGATCTGCGAGGAGATCAGTTGATGACTTAATTGGCTCGACATTTTCACTTCGTTATTATGAACTTAGTCAAGATTTTGTGTGCTTTGAACCTGTCATTTTGTATCTTTAGGATGGTGGATTATGAGACTGCTTTTTTCTACATATATCAAGTATTTTCATCAAAAAAAAATGTAATTTTTTTAGCAATACTCGATGAAAGTTGTCATGATTACTTGACGAATTATAAAAATCGTCAGTACTACACGACGACTTATGAAAGTGCATGTAATCTTGACGATTTCCATCGACTATTGTAGCAAAACTTTTAATTCGAAAAATAATTTATATTGCATCTTATACGTACATTTGTTCCTTTCCTGTATGAACCCACGATCAACGAATAAACTCCTGCAATAAATATCCATTTTTAATTAAAAATTATTAAAATAATAATTATATATTAATTCAAAAAAATGAGAGAAGAATCATTTAGTGGCAACAATTATAAAAGAAAATGTTATTCAGCTAAGAAAATCAGTTTTCAAACAACTGTGCAAATATATGTGCTTGTAATTGTCCTGGACTTTTGAAAAAAAAAACCGATCAAACTCACCGGTAGAGGAAGTGTGGGGTGGTTGCCTGCACTCTTAAAATTGTATTTGGATAGCGGCACTGCTGCATGAACCATGCACAACAATGACTCCCACATATTCAAACTCAGTGAGTCCCCAACAAACAGTATTTTCTTCCCCTTCATCTTCTTCAAGAAATCCAAACCATCAAATCTCGGCAACGAACAAGCAGTGGGCTTCCATTTATATTTGAGGTAAAATTTATCAGGTCGTTTATTTCCTTGACAGTCTAACTGAACAGTTAATAAACGGACAACTCGCACTGTTGTAAAGAGGATAAGTATCATCTTGTATCAAACTCCCTTTGAAATAGTCACATCCGCCTCTCGGTTTAGACGGCTCGACCGACTCGACTCGACCGAGCCATGAAACGAGAAGAATAATGGAGAAATAAAAGCTGCAAAAGCTGATGTGATATCCATGGCGATACCCCCATTTTCTTTTAAAGGAGTTGAGAATTACAACAAGGGTTGTAGTTATTTATACTCTCTCCTTCGGTGTTGTCAGGTAAATTTTATTTTTTTACCGTTTCGTTTTCTTGATTTTTTATATATTGGATTACTGATTTAAGCTTTTTAGTATAAATTTATTCTTTCTATTCAATATATATATATATTTTAGATGTAATTATTTGACTGTCTCTCATGATTCACCATATATATGGTTTCTTATCTATCTTTTTCAGATCTAAAAATTTAATAAAATTAACTGACGTATACGTTAAGTTTAAAATTATATTATTGACGTAGAAGTTATAACTATATTAGCACATAAAATTAATGGGTGACAAAACTATGGAATATAACTATATTTGAAAAGAAAATCTATAACTGTACCCTTTCGTGCTAATAAAGCTGTTAGAAATGGATTTAGAAGGAGATGTGTTAAAAGATGATAAACTATTATTCATAGCCACTTCGTTTGTACCAAGAAAAAACCCTTTCGTGCTTTTGTTTGAATTAGTTAAGTTTGTTGATGGTAAAATTTGAGCTACGATCATTATAAGTAGGGGTGTTCATTCGGTTAAAACGGTGACCGACCGAATCGAACTATCCTTAATCGAATTAACCGAATTTTTTTTTTCTTTAACCGTTAACCGAACCGAACTTTTTTTCAAACATATTAACCGAATCGAATTAATTTCGGTTAATTCGGTTAATTTTCGAATTAACCGAATTTTTTTTAAAAATTTTCTAATTTATATAAAAATTAAATGTTTTTAATTCAAAAAAGGTTTATAATTAATTTAAATAATATATAATTATAAAATAAAAATTTCAGATAAATTTTTTAATTAATTAATATTGATTTAGATTTAAAAGTTATTGGATCTTAAATTATTAATTGAGTTTTAAATTGTTTGGGCTTAGCCCAAATGATATATATAATATATTTAATATTTTTTAATTAAAAAAACAGTTTACAATTAATTTAAATAATATATAATTATAAAATAAAAAATATATATATATTTTTTAATTAATTAATATTGATTTAGGTTTAAAAGTTATTGGATCTTAAATTATTAATTGGGTTTTAAATGGTTTGGGCTGAGCCCATATGTTATATATAATATATTTAATATTTAAAATTTAATTTCGGTTAATTCGGTTAATTAACCGAATTCGAACCGAATTAACCGTTAACCGAATTCTAAAAATTTTCTTAACCGTTAACCGACCGAACTAATTCGGTAACCGAACCGAAATAACCAAACTAATTCGATTCGGTCGGTTAACCGAATTAGTTCGATTATTTGAACACCCCTAATTATAAGTCCATTTTTATTTAGATGAAGAATTGCATACGATGATTCAATGAAGGATGGTACGACGAAGATGATGAATAATGTGAGGTTGAGAGAGAGAGTGTGCCTAGGATTTTGTTCTCAACCTTGCATGGTGTTTATATATTGACCCTTAGTGCGGATGTTAAACCTAAGATTATGATAATTATTTGTAGGTCAATAGAGAAAATAAATATGGCCGCTAGTCAATAGATTTGGCCTTTACAAACATATTTTCTTTTTTCATGTATATATACTTTTATCTATATTTATACTTATTATAAAATGGTTGATTGAGTTGATATCACGAGTCATCTTAATACCAACTCAATGATGAAATGATTGGAATAATTTCAACGTAAATGATAACAAATAATATATTAAAGATGTTATGTTTTTTATATATAAATATTTAAATAAATAATTAAAATATTATTAATTAAAATTTTCATCACTGAGGAAAAAATTTATTTATAAACTTTTTACTACTACATTTATAATAATTTATTTTATTAGTTTTTATATATATATCATTTTAAATAAAATATTTCTTTTTTATTTCTAAAAAATTTAATTTAGAAGTTATTTTAATTAAAAATAATAAATTATTTTAAAAATTTATATATCTCGTTTATTACTATATTCAATTTAATAGTTTTCCATAAAATTTATTTACATTTATATTTAATTATAAATGTTAGATTTATTTGTCGAGTTAAACATAGTATTTATTGCAAAATATCCATCAATTATCATTTAAACCCATTTAATTATAAAAATCCTAAAAGATATAAATTAAAATGGCATAATAAATTATACAAAAACAATCATGAAAAACAATATTTAAAGGGTAAAGTACAAAATGGTACCTCGACTATAAGATATTATTTTGTTGAGTCCCCGACTATTAAAAATTACAAAATAATCTCCTAACTATAGGAGTTACTTTATTCAGTCCCTCAACTATTAAAAGTTACAAAATAGCCACCGACTATTCATTGTGCTTATCCTTTTCCGTTAAAAAATTAACAATCGTCTGAGTTGGACGTTAACATGTTAATTGAAATATGATAATCCTTTGATATTATGAGATCATATTTTATCATATCTTAGTTAGAAAGTTAACATCCAACTCATATTGTTGTTAATTTTTTAACAGAAAATGACGATTTTAAAACATAATCAATAGTTAGGTGACCTTTTGTAACGTTTAATAGTCGAATGATTCAACAAAGCAACTCCCTATAGTTGAGGAATTATTTATAACTTTTAATAGTCAGAAGATTGAATAAAATAATATCCTATAGTTTGAGGACCATTCGTGTACTTTACCCTTAAAGTAATATGAACTTACATGAACAATTTAATCCATGCCACAAACTTTATTCATGCATTCACCGTGAAAAAGCAGTGTTGAGTTTATATCCTCCGAAATCGAGGATAAACAAGGAATTTCGTATCGTAAATGTTGTGCTTTTACGTCGTTCTGGAAAACTGAAAACGAGAGCGAAAAAAACGAAAAAGAAAGAAAATGGTTACCGAGAAGAGGGAGTAATTGATTTTGGCTATCTTTTGCCGCTTTCATGCATTGGCGAATAGGTGTTTTAAAGGTATGCCGTTGAATTATTATCAAATAATACGAATTGTTATTATTGATGATGATCAATCTGACCTCCATTCGCTCGTTCATTTACCGTAAGAAACGAAATGGGAAGAAACGGACACTGCGATAATCGATTATCTGCAATCGTGGAGAGAAGGAATAGATGCATTTGGTGAGATTGATAGAGAGGGATCAAGGGTTTATTGGCTCTGCCTTGGATCTGAATCTAATCAGAAACGATGGTATTCATTGTGTTTTACCCTCCGATTTTATTTACGTTCAAGTTTATTTCTCTTTTCCTGTATTTCTTTATAGTTAAATGTACCTTTAATGGACTGTTCTGTTGATTTTGGATTCAGTGTCGTGAATGAATAGACAGATCATTTAGCTCCAATGAACTAATTCGATTGGGAATTTATATTTCTATTTTTTTCTCTGAATGTTGTTCGTTTCCTCCATTTTTTTTGGGTTGATTTAGAAATGTGCACTTCTTCAATGTGAATTATTGGGCTTTGAGTTTCATTTATTAAAAATAAAATTCATTGTAATTATTGAGGAAATTTAATTTCCTTGAATTCATTCTAGTTTCTAGAGCTGCATTTCTATTTTTTTTTGGTAGGAAGGTTTTTTAATGGATAGTAACCTGGAAATTGTAATTTGCTTAACGCAATTTAATCAATAATTCCCCTACAGCAGTGTGAGCATAATATACTAGTCTCTTGAGAAGTTTCTAGCTCACTAAAACTTCGGCAGATCAGGGTGTTCACAGCCTTGGCGCTGTTCTTCTAAGAGTTCGTTTTGTTGACTTGAATATGTGTTTCCCAAGTGAAAGTTCAAAAATATTGTAATTGTTAATTGAAGGATGTAATAAAATTGTTTTAGAGAATTATAGGGTGAGAGAGATGTAGAGAAACCAAAACATGGATTCACCAATGTGGCATCGAATGGTGGTCACAAAATGCACCATATAGCCCTTTTGCTGGACCTATATATAATTGTAGAAATATAACTTATTTTTATGTTTCATTGTTTGTGATGAGTCTGTTTTCCTTCAAATTGACTTGCTGATGATTTGACATGGCGTCACAGGTTGCTCCATCAAATGTTATTGTCGGATCTGTCGTTTGGGTGGAGGACCCTGAGGCAGCTTGGTTAGATGGGGAAGTTAAACAAATTAACGGGGAAGAGGTTACAGTAAAATGTAAAGAGAAATCAGTAAGTGTTTGTTTTACCTTTTTTTACCATTTATGATATGCAAGGATTCGAACATAATATTTTTATTACCTTCTATTGTCAAATATGTTAAACTTCCTTCCAACAGCAGTTTAGTTGCAACTAAATGGTTTAATTCTTTCATGAAGGGCCTTTTGCTTTGTTCCTTGCAATCAAGAAACTTATATGTGTATTTTAAGCTAGAAATGAATAGAAAATCACCACCACCCTAGTTGAATGAACATGGAAGTTTTAAGTTATATTGCTAAATTTCCTTCATGAGATGATACGATTTTCATTATGTTTATGGAATATCTAGAGATTATGGCTAAGCCATATTTTGTTCTAAACATAATATAAAGCTGTAGAGGATGTTATTGTTCTTCTAGTACTTGGTTGCCAATGGTTTACTGTATGTTACAAATTGGTTTGACTTGAGTTTAAGCAGGGAATTCTTTTTTCCTTGTTGATGAGATATTTTTAGGTCAAACTAGATATAAGCTCATCTAGAGAACCTGGAAATGAAACCCTCTAACTTCTGAATTCCGATAAGTTTGTTGCTCAAAATTACTGAGACCATTATGCTAGTGCTGATGGTGTAAGCTCTTTTACACCCACCTAATGTTTTACTCATGAGTTTTGTCTTCATATGTTATGCCATCGTATTATCTAATGCTATGGACTGTGGCTTGATACTAGGGCTCCTTTGTTAAGTCATATAGTGTAGGGTTTTAATTTTTTGTAACTAGAAGTGCAAGGAGGTTTTGGCATCATGAATCAAATTGTAGGTGTGGTCTGCAAACCCTTCAAATTATGGCATATTGCTTATGCACGGTTGTTGGGTCAGAAAGCAAAATGTTTTTTTTAAGTATGAGCTAGTGACGAGAAATCAGAACTGTTAAATGTCTAAGACTACACGAGATAGGTATTTTTGAACAAGAAAAAGGCCGTAGAACGAAAAAAAAAAATGATGATTATGTATCATTTGTGCTAAAATATGCACTAGAAAGTTACATTTCATAGCTCTTGTTCCATTACCTATTCATGTTGGCTATCGAGATCTTCAACTGTTCATTCCCTGCAAAAGAATAAATAAATAAAGAAAAAAAGGTTTTCCATTCATTCAAGATACTGCAATAAGCAAACTAATCCTAGATATGTTTTACAGTTTAGACAAGGAACAATTGTAATCACTAATAAGGTAATTAGAGTAGGATGCAAGATCTTTACTAGAGCAGTAACTTTTGGAAATATATCATGGCTCATGATTCTGCTATGGTATAATCTGGTAAAGGTAACAAAAGGTTTGAGTTGTTCCTTTTATCTTGTGTAGGTTGTGGCCAAGGCATCTAGTGTCCATCCAAAGGACCCTGAATTTCCTCCCTCTGGTGTTGATGATATGACAAAGCTGGCATATTTGCATGAACCTGGAGTTTTGCATAACTTAAAACTTCGATTTGATATCAATGAAATTTATGTAAGTATAATAGATAATTTGCATCTCCTTAACCTTTTCTTTTTGATGTTAGACTTATTTTAGAGTTGGTATGGTAAGGGTTGTTCAGTGTTGAGAGAGATTTTTATGAGAGAAAAAAAGGGGAGTTTTTTATTCTCTCTCATTTGTTTTGGTTAGTTACAGTAACATCTATCTCTATTATACATGGTAAAATACCCAAACAAGAAACTATCGCAATGCATGCTATTAGGGCCCTTATAATGGGCACAAAGTACAACAATTACTCCTAAAATTTCTATTCCAAAAACCAGTCAACTCAATTACTCTAAAATATCCCTACCAAACATCAGTTGACATCCCCTGACTTCCACACTCCCTCTCAAGTTTGGCTGTGAATGTCCATCATTTGCTACATGGACTTCAAGCTCTTGAAAATATTTCAATGAAATGCCTTTATAAGAATGTCTGCTTTATGATATGTACTTATTGTGAGAAACTGAGAGAAGAAAAGAAAATTTCAAATAATTTTTCATCAAATCTAATATTTTTATCAAAAATATAAAAAACACACCTGATTTTATAGGCGATTGATTACAAGTTAGAGTCCTAATAGGTCTCTTTCTTCCTAACATTTACCTCCTAATCTGTATCTTATCTCCTAAAAAACTTAATCCTAATCGTACAATATAAATAAATTAAACTTTATTTCCTAAAATAAATTAAACTTCTAAGTGAAATAAAATTCTTAATTGTCATCAATTTTCTACACTCCTCAAGTTGGGGTGTATATGTTTATACAAAACCAACTTGGACTTGAATCCATCAAAGTTAAGTCTTGGAAGGCCTTTAGTAAGAATGTCTGCAAGCTGCATTTGAATTGATTTTTAATCTGTGTGCTATCAAGTGATGTGGTGAATGCTTTGAGTGATGGCAACAGTTTTACGTAGGCTATGTATCTCTTAATAAGATGATCATACTATTACAACCCGTCCTTGCTCAATGGATACAAAACACCCATACTTTAGCACCCGGTGCAATGGCTCCTGGTGCATCTCGGTTTTCGTTTCCTTTGTGACTGGCCTTGAAGAGGGGGGATATGTCAAGTATCCGCTTGGGATCATGTCCTAATGAATGTTTCAACTCTTTTTCTTTGAGCAATAGGCAGTTCTGAGTTATCAATAAAAGGAACAAGTTGTTAATTCGAAGAAGATTCTATATATGTGTTAATTTTTTAGACATAAGATTCCAGTTCAGGTTCTTGACAATTTCTGACGTGTGATATCCTTTAGATTTTCTGTAGGTCGTCACTTCCTGTTATAAACATGAAGTTCTTGATTGATGTCAAGTGTGAGATGGTCTTGGAGATGGTGGGTTTTTTGATCGAGTGATTTTTGGTTCTAGAGAAGAAAATACATGGACTGGGTAGTTTGAAGGCTATCCCAAAACTATAATTCCCTTAAAATCTCTCCCTCAATTATAATTTTGGTAAAATAGGTCTGATACTAAAAAAATGCGACATCCATAAAATTGTATACTTTCTGAGTGACAGGAGAGTAACATTTATATCTTTTCTGTTAGATGAATATCATAAGAACAAACATTTGATGGGTCTAATCAAAGTTCTCATTGAAAAACAGAAAGTACAACCCGTTTTTATAGGCTATGAATTATAAGTTAGAGTCCTTTTAGGTTTCTTTTCTAACTTTTATCTCATAAACTTTATCTTATCTCCTAAAAATTTTAATCCTACAATATAAATAAATTAAATTTTATCTCCTAAAATAAATTGAACCTCTAAGTTAAATAAAATTCATAATTGTAGGCAACTTTCTACACTGAAGTAGACCGACAACACAATTTGTGGAACTAGCATTTCTTTTTTTTTTAATTAATCACTGGTATCCGATCTATTGACCGACTAATCCAGATCGGGTACTGCAGAGGCGAGCCAACCCAGTTTGCTCCATTCGCAAACACCAGGAGTCGAACCCTTGACCTTGCTTAAGGGACCTAGTGCCTCATCCTTAGACCAACTGGTTGTTGGCATGGACCTAGCATTTCTAATTGTCCTTCCCGAGTCTAAGACCTGAAATTCACACATTTTTGGGAAGAATTTAGCAGCACAATTGGTGGCATTAGTAAACTTAAAGATAACAGATTATGGTCAAGAGCGGGAACAAGCGGTATTGTACCAAGAGATATATCATTGGAGATAATAACTGAAGCTGTACCAGCAACAATAGGGAGACCAATCAGCAAACGTACCTGTGCATAATCAATAGATAGACTGTCTATATGAAACACAGTGACATCTCCTGTCATGGTCGAATGCCCTTGAATCCATGATCCACATGCTAGTTTTCCCATGTCTATTATTTATAGTAGTAAGGTAATTACCATTTTTTGCTATTGATATTTTTCTGTCATATATGATGGTTTTGTAATAATAGGAAACTATCACAAAGCATTTATTTATAGTGCATAATAATAGGAACAAATACTACAACTACTCTTAAAATATCTTTAACAAACTCCTGTCACTTAAATTACTCCTAAAATATCTCTAAACACCTGTCAACATCCTTGATTTCTACACTCAGATTATTTGTCATAGCATGTTTGTCTAATGGCATTCCTTTCGATCTTGTTTGATTTAGTGCTACTGCTTAGTGCGTACTCAGATCAGTTATTTCACATCCTGTTTTACATATTGTAGTTCTACTGAGTGTGGTTTTTGATGACCAAGTGTCAATATGTTGCTTTAATTTATTTCACGGCTGTTTCATTTTTGGTCAATATATAAGACATCGTTTTCTGAAGCTAAATGTGCTGATGTGTTATTCCAGACCTATACTGCAAATATATTGATTGCTGTAAATCCTTTTCAAAGGCTTCCGCATTTAGTAACAGATGACATGATGGAAAAGTACAAAGGGGCAGCTTTCGGTGAACTGAGCCCACATCCATTTGCTATTGCAGATTCTGCCTATAGGTAACCTGTTTCTGTGTTCTCCTTCCTTTTGCATTGTTGAAGTGAATTATTTGTGTAATTAACGTTGTGAACAGACAGATGATTAAGGAGAAAGTAAGCCAAGCAATTTTGGTAAGTGGGGAAAGTGGAGCTGGTAAAACAGAGAGTACGAAGATGCTTATGCAGTATCTAGCCTTTATGGGAGGGCAAGTTAAAAACCCAGAGAAACGTTCTGTGGAGCAAAAGGTCTTGGAGGTAAGCTCAAACTCCATAACTTATTCAGTTTTGGAATATGTGAAATTGATCAATTTGATGTTGCTTTCTATGATGTGAGGTTCCCCTTCTTGCTTCTTGGAAGCTGAGATTTCTTCAGTACAAATTCTCTTTTTCATAGCATTTTTTGTTCTTACATTTGTAGTCGAATCCTGTTCTGGAAGCATTCGGTAATGCAAAGACTGTCAGAAACAACAATTCAAGGTAGGAAATCTTTTCTCATAATTTATTCCTCGTGTTTGTGCAAATCTCTTCCTTTATTTGATGAAAGACTGCCCTGATTGAATATATTGTATTTGTAGTCGCTTTGGCAAATTTGTGGAAATTCAGTTCAATGAAAATGGTAGAATTTCTGGAGCTGCAATAAGGACTTATTTGCTAGAACGATCACGAGTTTGCCAAGTGTCTGATCCAGAGAGAAACTATCATTGCTTTTACATGCTTTGTGCTGCACCGCCAGAGGTAATATTGTTTTGAGTTTAATCAGTTACTTCGAGTTTAAGATGTTTGTTTTAGAAAGACGTATAAGAAAGCGACACATGTCTAGACCTTAGGATCAAATGGGATAGGATAGGTGTTATGTGAAAGACTAACCAAAGAAGTTAATTGGAAGACAAGTTTGAAAACTTTGAATAGTCAGGTGACCGTTTTATAACTTTTAATAGTCGAAGGACTCAACAAGTAACATCCTATAGTCAGGAATCATTTGTAACTTTTAATAGTTGGAGGACTTAACAAAGTAGCATCAGACATTATTTTGCCTGCATTGAATGGTTTTTTTAACCAAAAATTCATCTAAAACTTTTCTGGTTTTATTTCCTAATACATGTTATCAGGATGTTGAGAAGTACAAATTGGGAAACCCACGAACTTTTCATTATTTGAATCAGTCAAATTGTATTGAGCTGGATGTACTAGATGATTCTAAAGAGTATCTTGAAACTAGGAGAGCAATGGAAGTTGTTGGGATCAATCAGGCAGAGCAGGTAATGCATCTTGGTCATTATTTCAGCTGGAATATTTGACTTTGTTTTTTTCTTTTCTTTTCTTTTAAGTCTGCTTGTTTGTTACTACCCCAGGAGTCAATATTCCGAGTTGTCGCTGGAATTCTACATTTAGGAAATGTTGAGTTGCAAAGGGAAAGGAAGCGGATTCTTCTGAACCTAAAGATGATAAATCTCGGCACCATCTAAAAATTGCTGCAGAATTATTCATGTGATTTGTCATTGCTATTGTTATCCTTAGGCATCCATATGATTGTCCTCAAGAGTAGATTTGAATGAGAAAACTCTAATATGTATCTCTTGTATAGGTGTGATGAAAAGTCTCTTGAAGACTCCTTAGTTAAACGTGTTATTGTGACTCGTGGTGAGAGCATTACAAAAGCGCTTGATCCTGATACTGCAGCTCTAAGCAGAGATGCTTTGGCCAAAATTGTTTATTCAAAGTTATTTGACTGGTAACTTTCTATGTACCATATAGATTCATTCTGGAGAGAAACACAGAGACATACATGCAAAACACATCTTACATATGATCTTTTTCTTGACATTTTCACTTTGGTTTCTCAGGCTTGTTGAGAAGATAAATATTTCTATTGGCCAGGATGCGAATTCAAAATTCTTGATTGGAGTTCTGGATATTTATGGATTTGAGAGTTTCAAGACAAACAGGTGCTTAACTGGCATGCTTTGTTTTCATCGTTTACAGATATCAATTTCTTTCATGATATCCCTGTGCTTTTTTCATGATTGGGTTATCTAGATGGGGGAATTCGATATTTTTAAGCCATTATTTTTAAAACTTTCTTAAAGATTATGCAGGGTCTATATTGTTGATTAGATTTGTGGGTATTACCACTGCTCTCTTGGCTAGTCTGGACTCATCCTTCCTGCACATTCTTTCTGTTATTTAAGTTTTACGGTGTGCAGAACTGTTGATCATGTTCCTATGTTTGGCTGTCAATACCTACATAATTTTTGAAATTTTCATTGTATACAGTTTTGAGCAGTTTTGCATCAATTTGACGAATGAAAAGCTGCAGCAGCATTTTAATCAGGTTTATACATTGGATTGATGCTAGTGTCTTTAGGATGTTTTATCTTTAAAGCAATACTTAAAATGTCCGATGCTGTCATTTTTCCAGCATGTTTTCAAGATGGAGCAGGAGGAATATAAAAAGGAGGAAATTGACTGGAGTTATATAGAGTTTGTTGATAATCAAGATATTCTTGATCTTATTGAAAAGGTATAGCACGACTATTTTGATTATTTTTATGGCTTGTATCTTACTTCCAATATGCAATTTATGTGACAAACTCTACATACACACATACACATACAAATATATAATGCACATATATATATGTACATAAGGCCTTGAATGTCTTTGCCTGTGTGTACGTATGTGTAACCATGCTTGTATTCTCTATCGTCTTTGTTTTTTTTTTTTTCAATTCTTTGGGGTAGGGGGGATAGCTTTGCTTTGGACTCAATGGTACCTTGTTTGATAGATAATATGTTTATTGTTATACTCCACAAAGAATGAGTTTGTTATGATTCAAAAGTTCCTCTTTTGTATCGTAGTGTGATTTGATTGTTTCACCAGAAATCTAACTTTGTGCCATTATGATTTGTTAGTGTGGAAGAGATCTATATTTCCTTCATGATATCTTTTATGAATAAATTTTATATCTTTACATTTTGGTCTCTGTTCATTTGGTGTACAGTATTTAATTCAATTGTTTTTTATCCTTACACAGCCTTCATCATTATTGTTTTTAGAACATGGCAATTTAAGCCATGTTTTTGGATTGAAATTTCCATGTATC